GATGTGGCTGGGCCAGCCGTCTGGCCGGTCTCCGCCACGAAGGAGGCGGGGACTGAATTTGACGGAGCTGCACTTCCTCAGCAGTCACTGTTTTGTTAGGAAATACCAAGCCCGCCCGTCTCTTCTCGAGGACTTGGGGGAAGCACATGGGCAGTGCCAGAGCAGAGCAGCGAGCTGTGCCTTGGGGCACGCGATTTCCGCGATAAGATTGAGGGCAATGCACCACCCTGCTGTGGTTCAACCCTGCGGGCACCGCTTCAGGCATATAACGTTCAGCTTTGGGCTGGGCAGGCAGAAGATCTGACAGCGGGCAGGACCCAAGGAGGAAAGCAGGAGAAGAGAGCACAAGGATTGAAGGTACGAGCAGGACGGCGTGGAGGAGGATGGCTCGAGGAGACCCCCTTCACCGTCACCGTCTTGTTCTCCTTCTCCCCCATTGCACAGAGGCACAAATCCACAGCCCAAGGGGGCTGCCGGAGCTGGAGGCCGTGGCTCCCACTAGCCCAACTCTCCTGGTGCTGCTGCCCTGCATTCCCCTTGCTTGGGTACCCTGCACAGAGCTGTGGGGGGGATCCATTAGAACCACTCAGTGAGATCGATTCCCTCCTGGTTAACAGTTAACAACCCATTAATTCAAATTTAGACAGACCAGGCTCAGTATCCCCACTCCCTGCCCCAGGTCTGAGGTTCTCGGTCCCCATCCCACCGGCAGAGACGCCCACCTCACCTCGGATCCGAGCGTGGAAGTCAGGTGCCAGCGCTCGCTGCAGGTAGGGAGCCTTGGCCTGCTGCAGCACGCAGAGCGACCACACCAGGTCCGTCAGCAGGTGAGGCTCCAGGCTGTCTAGCTGGCTCGGGAGCTCCTTGTGGACCTGCAGAGAGGGAAACCAAACAGCTCAGCTCAGCTTTGCTGATGCCTTGATCCTGAGGTCAACACGCAGGTCTGGCAGCTCGACAGATCCCCGAAGCGTTACGGTGCACCTGATGCGCAGTCTCCTCTACAGCAGTGCTTCCCCCCTGGGTTATTTGCAGAGGGGAGACTTTAAGATCGCTCTAACGTGACCCTGCAGCTCATGAGCTGCAGTTCGCTGGCCCAGGATGCTGCGTCGCTGCACGGAGGGCTCATCAGAGAGCCCAGCAGCAAACCGCAGCAGCCAGGGGTAACACACCATTGCAGCCAGCCCTGCCACGAGGGCAGCGTTCAGAAAAGGGAACGTTGGAGGCGATAACCTCTTCAGGATCTGCAACTAAAACCTGCCGTAAACCGAGCTGGAGGGGTCTGTATCTGTGGTGTCAGGCTGTCTGTCCAGGAATCACAGCAAGAGCCTGGAGCTCTGCATCCCACAGGGTTTTCTCCTGCTAAACCTGGAGAACTTTTTTGCAACACCTCAAAAATGAGCAGTTTCACACTTGCTACAAAATTCCGCTTCACGGTGACCTCGATCAATGCTGGCAAGGGGAGTCCAGAGCCCTGGATGCTACTTCCACACCTTGCCCTTCTCACTGTCCCAGGGAGATCCCCTGCTCCCCAGGTTGGCTTGGCCACAGGGGACAGGCTGCCCTGCGGTGGGACACGGGGTCCTGCTGATCAGGACCACCCATATCTGGGTCCTCTTCCTTCTCAGCTGCGCATCGCAGGTGGGGCTGGACTGGCCACACTCCCTCTGCCGGGTGCTCGGCGAATGCCTGCTTACTCAGCGACAACACAGCTCCTCTCTGGAAATCGTCAGCAGAAATCTGTCCCCAAGGAGGTCAAGGTGACTTCCTCCTCCGCTTCAGAGGCCAGCCTGGCTGCCTCCATGAGCCGGGGAAGGCAGGAGGACGCCGAGGACAGCGCCTGCCACATGCTCACCTCCTGCCAGCCTCCTGCTAAACCATGCAGGAGGCTCCCCCTCGGCTTGGCCGTTCCAGCCGGTCACATCTCCTCGCCCCGGGATGCGGCAACCTTCCCCCCAGGCAGGCAGACGGTGAGCACGTCTGCCTGTGGCAGCCTCTGTCCCTCTCAACAGCTCCCCAGAGCCGGGGGAGCAGCCTCAGCGCTACCAGACCGAGGGCTTGGCTCAGCTGAGAGAGCCACACAGCTCTGCCAGGAGCGGGCGTGCAACCTATGGCCTCGTTACAAAGAGTTAATTACGGCAATTGGAGTTCAGGAGGGCATGTGAACACCCACACGCTGCTTGTGTCTGGTAGAAAAGTGAGCCTGTGGAGACTCAAGCCAGTCATGGACTAACTGGTTCAGCTATTGCCCGGCATGCAGCCGGAGGAGCGCAGTGCAGGTTTTTCAGCCTGGCCTGAGCTCTGGGCTCCCCCTTCCCACACCATTTACAGCTGGATTGAGCCATCCAACACCCACTTTGGCACGTGGATGTGCTAGGAGGAGATCTGCAGCCTTCCCGCTGACTAGGGAGGGAGGAAGGTTGATGAAGAGAGGGAAAGGGGGAAGGTTACCATGTTGAAGAAGTCCTCGCTTCCACTAGGCTGGAAGTTCAGGCGCGCAAAAGACAGGATGATACCGCACAAATGGGTGACCGACAGCTGCTTGGTGTTGTCCAGGGCATACTGGAAGATACAGGGGGAAAACCAGAGGTTTAAGTCTGTCCTGAATGAGTACAGGCAAGAAAAGATTGAAAACATCAGCCAAGGACGCATCCAGCCCCGTGGCAAGATGGGAAAATATGAGTGAAAGGTCTTTTAGTGCTTCCCTGGGATTCTATCCCGGCACAAGGGAAAGCTGTGAGTGGAAGCAGAGCTCTGCAATATTCCCACTCGCCCCGTACAGACGCAAAAGTGCAGGCACACAAACTGGGGCAGAGCTGGGAAGACGCCTGGGGAGAGAAGCAGCCCTGGCACCCGGGAGCGGAGGCTCAGACGGAGCCGAGACCGGCCCCAGTTCAGCACGGATTCCCAGCGCTGACTTTAGCAGGAGATGATCAGCGAGTCCTGTCAGACTCAATTACAGCCACCGGCTGGGTAGGGAAAACAGTGACGACATCCCAGAGAGCATCTCTGGAAAGGTGGGGAGAAATTGCTCCCATCTCCTGGGAACTGGGGTGGATCACAGTCGTACTGGTGCCAGTGGGGGCTTTCCTGCCCGCCCCCAAGCCCCCTCCTCCTCACCTGCGCAATGGCCTCAAACAGCGGCAGGCTGAGCCACTTGAGGAGGGCGAAGGATCTGATGCAGCGCGTCACCTCGACGGGCGTCATTGTGGAAACGTGGGGGTGCAGGTCGGTGGCTATCTTCTGGAAGACCTGGGGCTGGTGGAAATTCAGTTTTCCTTAAAGGAGCAAAGAGAAAGCGGCAGCCACTTACAAGGAGCTGGTACGGGAGCCGTGCCTGGACGGGCGGTGGCGGCACAAAGGAAAGCACGAAGCCGTTCGTCAGGAGCAGAGGCGGCTCGGAGGCCGGGACTGCCTCCCCCAGTCGGCTTGGCCCCATCCTTTCTGGTCAGACCAAGTGTTTGCCAGGTCCTGCCGCACCCACCAGCTCTCAATCCCGGTGCCAACTCATGGCTCCAGCCTCCACCCAGTGCCGGTAGCAGATTTTAGCCCCAGTGTCTCCATCTACAGATCCTGGTCTGGCCAGAAGAGCCCTGAACTCGCTAAGGCTCCCGGGAACCTCACGCTGACCGAGGAACAAGCGAGCAACGATCAGCAACCAGCAGCACCAAGCCCTGGAGGTCAGTGTGGACCGGCCCTTCCTGAGCTGAAGCACCTACAGCCCTGCCTCTGAGAAAGGTGCCCAGCAGGGATTTGGAGGCTGTGACATGGAGCGTCCACCGCTTTCCTTGAAACTCGTTCCAGATTAATCACCTTCACAGCAAGTAAACTGGTAACATCAATGAGAGAAGCACGAGCTCCCTCCAAGGCCAGGTCTACTGGGGTTATTTCTTTATTTTGAGAGTATAGCTAACCCACGGAGACTGTCCTGGCCCCAGTGGTTGTCAAAAGAGCTGTTCCTGTTCCCATCACCAGGAGCTGGACAATTAACTGAAGATGAGCTCCCCTTTGGCTCTTCTGGCTTCCTTTATCCCTGTTTGTCTGGGCTTTCCCCTGGCTACCAACAGTAAGAAGAGAGCAGGACCACACAATACTGTACGGAAGGAGGAGCCAGAGAACTAAGACACCCCAGATCATAAACCGGATTATCAATTAGCACTACCCTGCTGTTAATAGAGCTGTTTTGGACCAGGTTCTGTCACCACCAAGTATATGGTGGCTCTGGTTTACCCTGTGGCCAGGAACATCACCAAGGTGGCTGTCACTGTCCTGAGCATCTGCCAGTGCTTGTACAAGTACTTGTGGCATCTCACCTGCTGAAGAGTACGAATTCAGCACCCAGCGCTTCTCAAATGATAATTAACTTGTCACTAGGACAGCTTGGGTGGAAAGAAATCAGCTACTTTAGTGTCACTGTCCCCACATAAAAAGTCCAGCTCTCCCCAGGGCTCCTGCTCAGCCCTCCTGTTACCGAGGGTTGCGTTTGCAAGCGAGAAAACAGAGGCAGGGGCTCCCCAAGAAACCCACGGCCACGGGAGGAGGCGAGAGAGGATTTGGGGCCATTTGGGGGATTGTAGCTCACCAGCTGCCTACACTGCAGGGCAGAGGGGCTCCCTGGTACCCCGACCACCCTTCCGAAGCGCTCTCTCATTGCAAGTTCCCGTCTTCCCATGCATTGGAAGGAAAACCAGGGTGTACCACTGCCATGAGCTGCACTGACCGCACCGTACGCCAGAGAGGCAGCAGCCGTACCTGGGCTCGGAGCTAGTACTACCCAGCTGTGCTCTTTTCTCCTTCACCTGGCCTTGATGCCGTGGTAGCAATGCCATCAAATCCCCACTCAAGTGCCCAAAATCAACTGGGCTCTACCACACGTAACATCCAGCAGGTCCCAATACAACTGAGCTGCTTACCGTAGGCGAAAATCAGGTCCATCAGGACGTTGAGGCTGAGGTCAGAGTGCTTCTGAAGCAGGTGGTAGGACAAGGCTCGGAGCAGAGGCACGCACCGCCGGTTCTGGTAGGCTAGAGCCAGAGTTATTTTCCGGATGTCATCGGGGTTGAACTGTTCAGCAAGTTCCAGAGCCTGCCAAGAAACGTTTTGAGCAGGGATGTAAAGGGAAAGCACAAAGTGAGGTGCAGATACAGCCTTTATACGGAGCGGGATGTGTCACTGCTACCAGCTGAGTCCCTCTGAGGGTGATGGGGACTGGAACTGGCGAGTGTTTAGCACACAGCGAGGCTAAGCGGCCGCGGAGGGAGGATGAGGGGAAGCAGACCCTTGTCCTCTCAGCAGAGCTCGGCCAGGATCTCCCCACTGCTGGTTCTGCCTCCCCCAGCCGGCAGGACCTCAGTGTCCACTCCTGTTGTGTGTCCAGGCACTGTAACACGCTGTCAGGCAAAGAGCGACAGAGGAAAGGCACCCGCTGCTGGATCAGCACCCTGTAATTTCCCTGAAATTCCACTGTAATTTCTGCTTCCTTTGCAGGACGCTAACCCAACGTCGTTAGTTCGGGCTCTGCATAAGCTGACAACCTCATCAGACCCAGCTACAGTGCTCTGCCTCATCACACGCCGGTGTCTGTAGCATTTATTATCCCCAGGGCCGAGGGAGAGGGACAGTGGGGCTCATGAGCTACAGCTGTTGCTGTGGCAGCTGTTTGGCCAGTCCCCAGCACGGGCTGGATGAGGACTGAATTTGACGCAGCTGCAGTCAGGGCTCCTGCAGCGGTTCTGACCCAAAGGACATTTCCCTGCTCCTGCGAACGACAGAAACGGGGACCCACTGAGCATCGGAGGGGAAAGAGCTGCCTCCTTTGAAGATGACGGGTGCCCAGAGGCAGCCAGAAGGCGAGGACAGTACGGACACTCCTTGTTCCAGCTCCCCTCACAGCCTGGCTTGTACAGAGAAGCAAAGGACGATGGTTTTGGCACCTGTGTTATGCTGTCTCTGTAAGTTACCGCTTGCCAGCTGAGCTAAGGAAATTTGAGCATGTTCTCTGCGAACCTGCCGCAGCTGCAAAATAAAATGCATCAGCCCAGTGCGAGTCACCCATTCGCACCAGTATGGCTTGGGAAGGGGCTGGCGAGGCAAGCTCCCCCATTTACATGGCTCCTCAGATGGAAACCCCTCTTAGAAGCACCCGTGCGTGGGAAGCTGCTTAAACAGCAACCTGTAAGCGCACACCAGAGTACTCTGGAGCAGCGACAAGCGCAGCCTGTGTGGGATTAGTGTTCCTATATAGGATGGGTTGAAGGGGACGGGGCTCTCCCTCACTGTTGTCACCTGCGGGAGGTGGAAGGGAGAGCCCAAGCCCCTACCTTGTCCTCCAGCCGGTCCATCAGAGCCGGGGAGATGTGCCCGACCTTCCCCATCAGGGTCACCACGGTTCGGGTACCCTCGAGCTCTGTCCAACGCAGCTCCAGCTTCTTGATGACTTCGTTCAGGAGCTTGCTCTCCTTCCCCTCCTTGACTGCGAAGAACTCTGCCAGGGAGGCGAGCTGCCTGAAGGTGAGACGCCGCAGCCGCCACATCACCTCCTGCTCCACCGACTGCATCTCCCTCTTGTTGCTGTCCATCCCCAGGGAGTAGAGGCTCTTCAGGAGATTCACCAAGGTGTTATTCCACACCTGAGAAATCTGGGCAGCAGAGAGAAATAAGGGAAAGGCGTTGATCAGAGAGAGCACAAGAGTATTCTGTTGCCAGTCACGCCAAACACCATGCTCTGCCTCTACAGAAAGAGCTGCACAGCGTTGAGAGGGAGGCAAGAGAGTCCTCCTCGGTCTGAGGACATCCAGCTGTCCCCCACCATGACGTGAGACCTCTACTCCTCCTCACAGGTGTTGCCTGCACAGTCAGAGACAGACCAGAGCGACCCAACACCCTGGTGAGGAAGAGGAACCTCAACGCCTGTACCCCAAGCTGAAGCCACGCACCGATCCCAGTGGCATGGATGAGCCTCGAGAGGTAACCACACGTCACTTATAGAGCTGCCATATAGGTGGTGAACTCTCTCTGCCTCAAAGAAGGAAGCTACGCAGATTTACTACTGGCTAGGTGAAATATTTAAGTAGACTTCACCCTTCTCTGGAGGCACTTAAGCTTCTCTGTGGTGTGGCTGGGATATGACACGGGTGGGTGGTAAAACGAAAACCGGTGGGAAAAACTGAGAATTCTGAGGGTCTCGGGGGGAATGCCACGGGACTCCGACTCGCCTCAGCACCTCAGGTCTAATAAAACTTTATCCTAAAAGCTCCAATTTCCCTCCAGCATTTCCAAAAGGAGGCTGGGCACGAATCCCACTGGCTACTGGGAGCTCCAGGACTTGCCCAGTCCCACTCTGCCCACTGAACTTCTCTGCCTGGCCACCGCCGGCTGCTTTCCCACCGGCAGCCTCGACGCTCATGGGGTTTTCCACCAGCAATCGGTCTTCCAGCTTTCATCTCCATCAGCGTCTGTCGGGGAATGCCCGGCATCTCTTTATTTCCAGCCCAAGTTTCCCCAGCTGTGCTCTGCTGCTGCCGTGCAGCGCTACAAGGCAATTCCAGTCTGAAAACTCTCGTGATTTGCGTAAAACCAAACCCAAACGACGTCGGTTCTGATGGGCCCTTCAGAAAGCAGCACAGCGCCTGCTTGACAGAACATCCCAACGTTACAAAATTATTTCAGAAACAAGGAGTCACTTCTCAGAGTGACCGTGCAGGAGGCAAGCAAGGCAGTGCCACGAGACGTTGAATTTCAGGCAGGAGGGACCAGGCGGGTTTGGGCAAACAAAGGCTTTAACTCTCTGGCCTGTCCAAACTCCAGCACGGCAAATTCCTAAAGTGCTGCTCAGGCACAAGAATGACCTGAGCGCTGCAGGGGTGCTCTGCTAAAATCTGAAAAAATCACAGCCCAGGAGGCAGCTGAGAAAGCGAGCAGAGCTTGTGATTTGCCCTGGGTTATTCAGAAAGTCACAAGGAGAAGCAGATTGCTCCCTTGGCTGATCCCTTGCCTTTTTCACCCGTTCACATGTACAAAACTCATCTCAGAGTCTGTTAAGAGCCCCTTCCCTCAAAGCTGTCCTGGCCCACGCCCTACCTGCTGTTCAAAATCTCTAGCTTGTTGACACAAAGACATTGCAAGCCGATTAATTTCAGTTTCTTTGCATCAGAGCATCTTTCCATCTACACAACGACCTCTTACATTCAGTTATCTATGACTGCAGCGGCAATAACAGCTCGTTGGAGAAGGATAAACATGTTTGCAGCCAGTTTGCTTGCTTTACATCTCAAAATCCCTTAGGCCACATCCCTCTTGGCAGTTTCCTACGCTTCGGTCATGCTGCCTCGCTTCTCATATCACTCATGCAGCGCAGCGGCTTGGCTTTGCCAGCTCTGGGGCATCCCTTCCCCACCGAGGGGTCCCCAGGGACACGGGCAGCCCTTCGATCCGTGGCGACAGCGACACAGGACCATGTAGATCATCATCAGCAGTCACTCCAAATTCAGTGGCATGGAAGCATTTCAGCTCAACGGAGCTAACCGGGCACTCTCAGGACAAATCCTACCTCTCTGCTATCCTTAGACAGGTTTTAGGGAGCAGAGATTGTGGATAAGGAGAAGTACAAAGCATTTGCAGAACGCTTATACCCCCGAGCCCTGCCAGGAACCTCATCAAGTTCAACAAGGCAAGTTCACGGGTCAGGGCAATCCCCAGTGCCAGCACAGACTGGGGGGTGGATGGATTGGGAACGGCCTGGTGGAGAGGGACTGGGGGGTACTGGTGGGTGAAAAACGGGACATGAGCTGGCAACGTGCACTTGCAGCCCAGAAGGCCAACTGTATCCTGGGTTGCATCCAAAGAAGCGTGGCCAGCAGGTCGAGGGAGAGGATTCTCCCCCTCTGTTC